CATTAAAGATCCGTTTATTTTGGACACATATGCTTCCAATTTCGCAATTGGTGCAGAGTTAATACAAGTACAAGATGGTGTAGAGCGTCCCGTTGCCTACGGAAATTTTTCATTAACCCATGAGCAAAAACGATATTGCACGACATTATCACGTCTGCCAGATTTAGCTGTACCCAGAATAGATTAACAGCTGGAAACGTGCTAAAACACAATCTACCCTGTGGAGCATGCGATTATTGTACTCGTGCTCATCAAAGTTGGCTTGGTTTTCAAGACCGTTAGCTTCACATCAGGACTATAAAACTTTTGAGCAACCACACAATACTGGACCACTTACAGCACTACTTAGTTCTTTCATTTACGAGAACACTTTACTGAAACAGGACATTGCACAACATGCAAATGTAATTATAAAGACCAATGCTAGACCAGATAGTTCAATATCACAAGAGGGGGACCAGAACGTGACAAGTCACGTTAATGGAAATTTAGGTACAATTCAGGACCAGCAACAACCATTTGACAGTACCAACCAAGATTCAATAAGCCAGAACCAAAATGTTTGTCACAGTTCAGTTGAAATAGTCACTACACCGCTTGGTATGTCAGTTTACGCGACATATTTGGACCTTCCAAATGTAAATGCCATTACTGAGACCGGAATAGAAGCTAGTACTTATTTATCAGAGCAATTACGAGATTACCAGTCAAAAGACCCCGATCTGGAGTTAATACTGGTATGGTTTAGGGACAAAACAGAGCCATCAGAGGCTACAATATTCAGATGCAGTCCGATAGATAAGAAATATTGGATAAACAAAGATATGTTTTACTTAGATGATAATGGAATATTGAGAAATTTGGACAAGAAGGACAAAACACCAAGACTTGTTGTACCAAGGGATCTTGTTGAACAAGTGATATCATTATGTCATGCTGCAGGTCACCAAGGTATGAATAGGACCACATTGAGAATCAAGGCAAAATATCAATGGTATGGTATGACACAACGAATTAGAGACTTTGTCAAAACATGCAGTACTTGCAATTTACATAAGAAGCCGAACAGGAAAGCAAAATGTCCGGTAACGCAATTTCACGCAGGTGCACCAATGGAGCGTGTCCACTTGGATTTTCTGGGACCACTGCCAGAGATGAAATTGATCAGTTTTCCAAATGGATGGAATGTATTCCGTTACCAGCGCAGACTGCGGAACATACGGCAAGAGCTACTGTAAACGAGTTTTTTTTCTCGTTTTGGTTTTCCATTTCAGGTTTTTACAGACCAAGGACTCAATTTTGAAAGTAAACTTTTCAAATCCATCTGTGAAATCTTGCAAATGCACAAAGCGAGAACTACTCCGTACAGACCATCATCGAACGGACAAGCAGAACGTTGCAACAGAACCTTAATGGACGCCGTCCGTTGCTTTGTTTCTAAACAACAAAAATGAACACTTGGCACAGTTGGCAGGAGCTGTTCGATCGTCAGTTAACAGAAGTACTGGTTTTACGCCAAACATGCTGATGCTTGGGACAGACGTTAACCAGCCTGTTGATTTATTGTACAGCGTACCTGGTGCTAAAACGGATCAGTCACAAGATGAGTATGTGATAAGACTCCGAGTTGCCATAACATCCGCACATGAAATAGCGCGCAACACGCTAAAAACTACACAAAATACTATTATGATGTACGTATTCTAGAGAGAGAATATAAAATAGGAGACTAAGTTTATGTTTTGGACACGGCAAAAATTAAAGGTAGGGCTAAGAAATTGGATCCACCTTGGAAAGGTCCAGGACTTGTATGTGCCACATTATCTCCGTATGTGTACACGATAAAATTACAAAAAACTATACTGACAATAAATCATGACCGTTTAAAACCATGTAAAGAAAGAGAAGTACCAACCTGGCTAAAACAGTGCCAGCACCGATTGCAGGATGGTGAAGATGCAACAAGGGCAATTAAGCAAGACTTATACTGTTTGTGCAGAAAACCAGATGATGGACTGTTTATGATGCAGTGTGATTTCTGTGATGAGTGGTACCATGGAGCTTGTATAAATTTGACACAATGGTAAAATTCAGATGTCCACGGTGCCAAGACTCCAGTACCGCAAGGTAATTTAAACTGAAAGACAGGATACTATGACGTACATGTAAATAGAGCAGATTCATGTGGACATAGAGAATAAGGAAAAACTGTTGTAAATTTTGATTGGAAACTACAGTGAAGATTGTGTGTAATATATATCAAGGAATGATATGTTAGTTTTAAAATAACTCCGCAGAGCGACAACGGAGCATTTGTTGAATTTTGAGAAATATATGCGTGTCGTTGAAATGTCAACGTTGGATATATTTAAATTTCTTATTTCCGTGGTGCGATTAGACGGGGTGGACTAAAAAGTGATAGTGAATATTCGAATAGGAAGTAAACTCACTCCTTTCAAAGTTGGGGGAGTGTTGAGATATATGGTATAAAGGAAGTGACATTACTCTGTAGACAGTACGGTAGTTAGATATACCGCGCAGCCCGGTTCCCGGTATGACTATTGTAAACTACCCAACTCAGGATAAGATCTCAGATAGTTACCAGGTAACGAGAGTTAGCGTATTGGCGGGAATAGAGCGAACGAGAAAACGTAACCAGAGACACATCAGAGGATATTTGGTAAGTGAGTAGCTATAGATTATTGTGTTTGTAGTATTGAATTATCCGTTGAGTGATTATACTCAGAATTCACATCATTAACATAATAACCTGTACATTATCTCGTTTTACAGTTGACCAATTTAGTTTTGTGCACATGATTTATTATACCAAAACAGATGTATTGTGAATAAATCATTTAATTCATGGATATATATTGAAACACAGAAACCGAAAAAGAAGTGAATACAATTTCAAATTGTAAGGGAACGACCATTCCTGATTCAGTGAAAATAAGGGAGGGGTGGCTATGCTTTTGAAATCAGCATGAATAAAATTGCAAATGAACATGTATGCAGAATTGTCTCAAATATGCGTCCTCAAAATAACAAAACAAAACGTTGAGTAAGACCAAATTCATTGAAATTACCTGCTAATGTGTAGTAAAAGAATATAGATACCGTAACTTTTGTTATACATGTTCAGGTACTACATGTAGTATAACAAAATCTAAAATAAATATCAATGTTTCCACAAAAGCTACTCTTGACTCAAATCAACGTAAATTTTGCACACAAGACCGGATTCATATGCTTCTTGATATTTGCACGAGTTATTTTTTGTTAGAATGATATTTAAATGTTCACGAAAATCTGATCGTTGGATTATTCGTTGGGAATTCAAATTTGCAAAAAATTGTGCAGCCCATTGGACATAAATGATTTTTTATGAAAAAATTCTTATTACAAACAAAAATAATCTTAGTATGAAAGTTGATCGTAGGTTTCTCTACAACAACTAGTACGAATAAATGTTTCCTTATTTTTTAAGGAGCCACAGAACGTTTGTGCAAGAAAAAACATAACGTGTTTTTTTTTCTCTCTCGATTACTTTGTGATATCACCTCTGAGTAAACTCATTCTGTCAAAAGAAACTTTTTGTTGTGAGTATATAAAAATATTCAAAACAAATTCCTATAAACTTTCATGTAAAAACTTTTATTTTATGAATGGACATGTTTAAAGATAGTAATTATGTATAACCCCATTGAGAGGCCCCTGACATACGGTAATTGCGTGAAGTCTTTGTTGTCGACAGCCAGTGATACACACGATAACATTTAATTACTATGTGTCCATGTCCACGCTGTTATGAAATTCTATTTGTAGAGGCCCAATATGATGTAAATAACATAAGTTTTATAAATAAGGAAATTTTTTTTTTTGGTATTGCTTGACATAGGATTAATACTTTCTACTAAAAAGTTAACCGACGATTTTATTTTCTTCTTTCTTTCGAAACAGGTTTCCCCACCACAATAGACTCATGTATCCCTCAGAGCAATCCGGAAAGATTCTAGGGGTGTACAAATAAATTAAACGGGTTTATTTTCATCCTCTAAAATGACCTCGGAAATGGGAAGGGGGGGGGGGGGAATCTACATAACAACTCTTATATACTATAAACTGCAGTTCTTCTGTTTAATGTGTATCTAATACTTTATAATCGCTAGATTTAAATCATATACATTGTATTGTGAAACGTTTTCTTCCACCGATTACATATATCTCTAAGTTAAAACAAGTTGAGTCGATTTAAGGCGTGTCTCTTTTGCGGCACGAAAGAAAAGACACGTTTGCTCTACATGTACAATGGTGCTATAATGTTGACCATGGGTATATAAACCAGAAGTCATAAGTTGCTTTCTTTAGTCTTTCTCTTTCAATTTTTCATAGAACGTCAAAATCTCAACGACTGAAAGGCATGATAAATACAAAAGGTTCAATACTTTCTACTAAAAAGTTAACCAACAATTTTCTTTTCTACTTTCTTTCGAAACATGTTTCCCTACAACAGATCATTTATCCATTTCACTAACCTTTATAACAATATAGGAAAAAGTTAAATCACAAAAATACTGAACTCCGAGGAAAATTCAAAACGGAAAGTCCCTAATCAAATAGCAAAATCAAAAGCACAAACACATCAAACGAATGGACAACAACTGTCATATTCCTTACTTGGTACGGCATTTTCTTATGTACCTATTGAACCTGGTTTTATAGCGCTAAACCTCTCTCTTGTATGACCGTCGCATCAAATTCCAAAGGATCGTTTATTATTGTCATCTATGAAATAATAGATCAATGTTTGTTTGATTGCCAAAACTTTGAAAAATATCGTTACACACAACAATAAATGTCCCTATTAACTGAATGTAACTAAGTCTTCTAGTTGTTTTTCTTTGTTAAAATGTAGAGTAATCTCTAGGGATTACAATAAGAAACAAAGAAATGGTAATTTCAACTATAATATCAATATAATATTTGTAATTACTTACGTGCATAGCTATTACAACAATGAAGATTCTTTCTATAAATCCAGGGTGAAAACTTTGATGTTACAGTGAGTAATAACTTTACAAATCCACCAACATGACGATATTGAATACATGTACCTCTAAATTTGCTACCAAAAGTACTGATATAAAGTTTTGTAATCAACGCACTTGTCGACACAGTTCTTTATGCTGATTTCATCAGGAGTAATAACACTTCTTATGAATGTTAATCTCAAGGTTTGGAAATATGTACTGCAATGGATCCGTATTTCCTTGTGACTTCTAAACTTAAAACTGTACATCTAAATAAATGTGAAATATCCAGTTCCTCATACGGCCTTTCACCAAGGCTTCAAGAAAGGACTATTTTAAATAAGATATTCATTTATGTATGTTTGAACTTTTATTTGCAGTATGAAGTATTCGTTCGTACCATTTAAAACTTAAGCAACTACATTGAAAGAAGAGGGCCTCTCACTATATATCAATACAATATTAATTAACTATTAACTTGAAAAGCGGACTTTGTATATTTAATATTTTATTTGAATATTTAAATGCTTAACTGATCAATTTATAGGATGGAAACTGGTATGTACAAATTATGATATTAATGAATGTTAAATGATATTATCTAATTCGAATGAATTAAAAAGATCTTATGAATACGTATGTTTAATGTCATTACCAATTTAACCATTATACAAATTTATTTGGATTATTCTCGTTTATGTTTCATTTTATCTGAATTCTCATGGACAGAACTGTTGAATTAATTTTTTAACATTTATTTACACGGTAATTACTGTTTTCGTGGAATTTCAAAAACAATTTAATTGGCAATCGTAACAAATCTCTAAAAACTACTTGGAATATTGGAACGAAATTGGACACAATCATCATTGGGGTATCATGTTAACAATGTGTTCGGTGATCCAGCCTATCAATCAGCATGGCCGACATAGTTTGAAATAATAACATAGGGGGTAAAATGCAAGATTATCTTTTATCTTAAAAACAGTATGGATGGAGAAAATCTGACATTGGCAGACATATGTTGAAATCGACCTACTGTTCTTAAACACCATAACGTCAGACGACTCCTTATAGGGGTTACAATCCTTAATTGACGAAGAAGAAACTATGAATGGTAAAGAATAATCAACAAGAAAAGATCTACACATAAGTCAACTGGACCGAATTATGGGTCGACTCCTAATAGAAATTATGGGATCTAAATGACGTCTTTATCAATGTTTGTGTTTTTGTTTATTAACTTGAAATCCTTTTAGATAAAGAAAAAAAAAATGTTTAGAAAGATTATCAGCTGGACAAATCTACAATTTTTTTTCAACATGTCCAATATCGACGGTCGACTTATCATATCAGTCATTGCCACTCAATGTCTTTGCTTATTATCTTGAAAACTATAATAGATAAAGAGAAACTTTAATTGCAAAAAATGATTAACAGATCTACAGACTTGTCAACATTGCCAAAATGGTCAGTCAACTCATCATATCAGTTATCGTCCCTAATTGAAGATTTTAACCAAATTTAATGTTTGCGTTTTTGCTTGTTATCTTGAAAACTATAATAGGTAAAGAAAAACATTAAATAGCAAAAATAATCAGTATAAAAGGATATAAAAATTTGTGAAATGACCAAAAGCGTCTGTCTACTCCAAATTGCCACTCAATGGTGATTTTATCCAATTTTTTTTTCATTTGTGGCCAAAACTTTGTTAGAAACAACAACAATAGCAGCTAAAAGAGACAAAAAACAAATTGCAAAAATGATCAGCAAGACAAGAAGTACAAAGAAGCTTACAAAACTGAAATGGAAAATCCACTTAATACAACAGTAATTGTCGTTGAATGGTGATTTTAACCCATTTTTGTTTGTTGTATTTTTGGCATTACACATAGTAGAACTAGAAAAACTGAAAACCTGAAAATAGAATAAAATATCGGCAACATAAGACCAACAAAAAAAAATCAGTTATGATTTATATTCTAGTATTTACTGTTGGAGAGTTGTCGCTGTTGAAAATTTACATATATCCAGGTGAGCGACACGAGAATCTAGTTTTTAAATTTGCCTTCATAAAATTTAGAATTAATTTTTAAGTTAAGGAGTCTATTACTCTCGTGCATAGCTCTGATTCTTTGTTTGGATTTGACTATACTTTCGGTCCTTTAAGATTTCATCAGCCCTTCAACTTTAATTTTGTATCAGGTTTTGGATTTTAAATATTTTGGCCTCGAGCATCTCTGAAGAAACATTTACTGTCGAAATGCGAATCTGGTGCCGTAAAATTGGAACCGTTAATGTTATTACTTATTGGTATGCTAAAACGAATTTAATACTGTATAGCTGTAACCATTTACACTGTATTAGAACACGCGCACAGTATTAGAAATAAACCATGTTCATCTGGTTGTTAGTAAATACTGCTACAAAAATGTACCAGTCGAAAGCTCGAAAGTTTTCATGATTTGCTAAAACGCCAAAAGCTAGAAATGCTTATGTTTTTTCTAAGCTTGCTGCTGAAATTTTCAAAACCATAGAAGGATTTTTTACTCTTCCTCGAAATATTTTTTTCTAGATAGGAAGTCAAGATGTTTGTGTGTCATGTAGAGATGATGATGATGGATGGCTGATTAACGTCCAGCGGCAAATAAATATTCATATTTAGGACGAGAACGTGTTAATGTAATATGAATATTAACCCTACTTTGTACTAGACCGACACGCTGAGCCGACTTTTAACGTGCTACTTCACAGGAAGAGACACCACCTTACCCGGACACATTATTCCGAATCGACCAGTCTTTGCTCTTACTCCTTAATGCCGCGTGCTAAGCGGAGAAGCAGCAAATACCAATTTTAAAGTCTTTGGTTTGACCCGCACTCGAGGCGAACACACTACCATGAAACCAACGTGTCGGTCTGTCGTGTAGAGAAAGAGCTTGCAGTAACGTTATTGAAACTGGCTAAAGTCATATCAGTTTTAAGAATAATGGTTCAAAAAATTATGTATTTAATCACAGACCTATTGCAACTTTACCATTAATATCTAAAATCCTTGAGAGACACGTAAATACTCATTTGATTAATTTTCTTAAATGTATAATGTATTGTATGTCATGCAATCAGGCTTACGTACAAACGGTTCAGGTCAAACTATATGAAATCTTTATTAGATAAAAAAAATTAATGATTAAAAGCCATTCATAAAGGAGATGCAGTAGGAGCGGTTTTCCTTGATCTATGTAAAGCTTTTGATCTTTCAAATCATGAAATTCAACTTCAAAAATTACAAAAATACAAATGTTCTTGTACTTCACTTCATATTTAGCTGATAGAGATCAGGTCGTATCCATTTCGAATACTTTTTCAGATATATCAAAATTAAAAACAGGTGTACCTCAAGGGTCAGTTTTAGGTCCTATATTAATTTTAATATTTATTGATGATTTGCCTTTAAATAACCCAAACATAACACTGATCTATTTGCTGATGAAAACACTATTTTTCTTTATTGAAAAAAAACCAAAAGGTATAGAAGTACGTTTCAGAATTTTTTCAACAGTCATTGGTGAGATGGAAACAAAATGTTTGTAAATGTGTCAAAAACAAAGACACAGTGTATATGTCCAGACCAGAAACTGTCTGCCATGTGCATGAGGTATATCCCTTAATGACTAAATAGGTATACTTGGATGGAGAGTTGTCTCATTGGCACTCATACTACATCTTCTTATATCTATACAACAAAAATACCGAACTCGAAGATAAATTCAAAAAGGGGAAGTCCATAAAAAAACGAATGGAAAACAACTGTCATGTTCATAACTTGGTACAGGCTTTTTCCGAAAACATATTACTGAAAGTTTTTGTGAAATTAAAGGTCTTTGGTGTTTTTGTTTACGCAAATTTGTTTTTATATAGTCATATCAATTAAGTTTTTATCAAACATAATTAATTCTTCATTAGAGTTACTGAAAAGAATTATAAAAAAATTTTATTTAACCATGCTTAGATTCTTCCACATTTGGATTACTGACAGTTGTTCAGTAAGGGGACTTTGTAACACATTTTTATTGACAGTTTATTAATAACTTTCGAGTTGACTGTTTGGGGGGATTTGCCTTATTTTTGGTGTTGTTGCATAAAATATTTCCTTATTGTTTAAAAGTGATGTAAGTTTGGCTGTACCTGTAAACAATAAAATTGAGAATGGAAATGGGGAATGTGTCAAAGAGACAACAACCCGACCATAGAGCAGACAACAGCCGAAGGCCACCAATGGGTCTTTAATGCAGCGAGAAACTCCCGCACCCGGAGGCGTCCTTCAGCTGGCCCCTAAACAAATATGTATACTAGTTCAGTGATAATGGACGTTATACTAAACTCCAAATTATACACAAGAAACTAAAATTAAAAATGATACAAGACTAACAAAGGCCAGAGGCTCTTGACTTGGGACAGGCGCAAAAATGCGGCGGGGTTAAACATGTTTTTTGAGATCTCAACCCTCCCCCTATACCTCTAGCCAATGTAGAAAAAACAAACGTACAACAGTACGCAGAGTAAAACTCAGTTTAAGAGAAGTCCGAGTCCGATGTCAGAATAGGAAACAAAATAAAAAAAACAAAATGACAATAATACATAAATAACAACAGACTACTAGCAGTTACTGACATGCTAGCTCCAGACCTCAATTAAACTGATTGAAAGATTATGTCTTCATCATATGAATATCAGGCACAATCCCTCCTGTTAGGGGTTTAGTATTATACCGTCATAAAATATATGAGAAGAACATAACCCGTGTCATGCCAACAACTGGTTTTAGAATAAATATGTTTAATTTCGATGCAAAGACCCTATAAGTGAATCAATATTAATTCCAAAATATACAATTTTTAATGACCTGACAACAGTATCGTAACTATATCCCTTCTTAATAAGTCTGTTTAAAGGTTTTGTTAGCTTTTGAGGGGAATACTGACATTTTTGTGCTTTGTAAAGAATATTACCATAAAAGATTGGATGTGAAATACCCGAACGTATAAGATGTCTTATTTCAGACGAAATAGCACATACTAAATTTTATGGTGATGTTATTTACCGAGCCCGGAAATTTATATACGATCCGGGTAAATCTACCAATCCTTGAACTAAACTTATTCTAAAAGGTTACCAATTCATCACTGTAATTAGATCTTTGAATATTGTTTTTATTGGTGTAAATATTGATTTAGTTATTAGTAAATTAAAATCACACTTAAAGTTTTGTTATACACATATGCACTTTAACGGTACTACAATCTGCCGATCCTTTATTTTGGCATTGCACAAGGTCATTTTTTTTCTATGACTGTTAATGACGTCCTTATACTAAATCCATTGGATGTGTACTGATTGATATTTTAGTCTTAGACACATGATAAT